TATTAGTTAGAAAAAATCTCATATCTTAAGGAATGATGTTAATTTTAAAACAATTCGTAATACAAATTTAATATCAAACTAATTAGTTTAAGAAAAAACAAATATGCATATTATTAGTTATAATACAATAAAACTTCTTAAAATATCAATAATACCAAAGAACATATGAAAATTAAGCATTTTATTCATTTCATTTCTTGAAAATCTATTGCTATAATTACAAATCTACTTCTTACAAAGGCTCTTAGTATTTTACTATGGGATTTTAGTTAGCTTTTAATACTATTTCGCCACATTTTTCTATTGGGTGAATAATAAAAAACACTATCATTTAGTAGAATAATAATCAATTGAGGTGCTTTAATATTGGTGATCTGAACATAATCAGTTAATATTTTCCCGTAAAAAACTGTTCGGTTTTTTCTTACATAATACAATGTTAATAAAAATGACATGAATTTGTTATATAGGGTAACTATTTTCATCATCATTGACATCGTCAATTGAAGTATTGTTTCATTTTGCAATTTCCTTTTAATAATTAATATTATTTTTTACTATTAAAAAGGAACAATATTAAAAGAAACACTACTTTTCAAATATCTAAATATTGGGTTATTCAGAAAGTAATTTCGTTTTTCCCCTACAAAGGACCTAATTGTATTATTTTTGCAGCCAACTTCGCACTTAAGCCGAATAATTATTATATATTTTGTCAGTTGATATAGCAAGGCTTGCTTGTGATAATGTTCGATTGATTCTACGCAATAGTTTTTGGTTAGTACTCTTTTAAGTATGGAAAGTGAAAGGCAGTACTTTTGGCATATTTTACTTTTGAAAAGGTAAATGCTATTAATGTTGAAAAGGTAAAAATTCTGTTCAAGCTAGATAAAAATTATCTAGTGTGTATGGAGAAGATGTGTTGACTGTATTCCAGTGGCAAATTTAGTCCGCAAAGTTTCGATAAGGCAATTTTGATGTTGAACCTGCACCACATTTTGGATTGGAAGCTGATGAAGACATAATTTTCCAGTTTTGTGAAGACACAATTTGCCAGCTTTGTATGATAAAGACATAATTTGCCAGCTAAAAGAAAATATTTATTTAGTATAAGAAAATGTTTCATTTTCATAAATAACGAAACTACTTTTCGACGAACCCTGTACATCAGATATTTTAGCATCGAACTGAATTTTTAAGTTCAAAAATTAGTCATGTTGATATCATCATATATGTGCTGCATCACTGCCTATTACCTATGTTTTTATTTTCTCGAGAAAACGAGTAACTGAAAACTTCAAGTTTAAAATTTACGTGAGAAATCAAGTTTGATACTCTAATCTTTTGATTTTCTTTGTTGCTCTTAGAGAAATAGTGTAATCAGTATGCATGTGTGTCGATCTGTCAAATTAAAATATGTGTAGTAAGAATGACAAATTTGCTGATAATTTATTAAAAAAATTATTTTAACCCCCTGTTTACGTCGGGTTAACTGCGAGATGTACTTTGTAATGCAATTGGATACCCGCACTTAATGAGAAGATCACAGATACCCACACATGTGACCTATGACGTCAGCTCCAGCTGATCGTTTATAAGCAAATGGGCGTGTTAAAGTTGAACTCAGTTTCTCCCCATAAGTTAGAATGTTAATTAACGTGAAGTTAATTAAATACAATGCCGTATAGCGCATTTATTAGTTTATGTTCTACATGGCTAGGTGTTTGTCTTTGTGTCAAGTAAGAAAGATATAGTTAAATCTTTATTAAAGAATCTTAGAGAAAGAATACAGAAATATATCACTGAAGAGAATTGATATTTGACGGGCTTGGCTTTCACGAAATAGAATGAAAAGAACAGTTAATAACGTAAACAAATGCCACATTTCAACAACCAGTCAGGATTGAAATACCCACACTACGTCACTTTCAGGCATCCCATTGCACATGAAGAGCGCCTGAAAAGCCGATTTGCCCTGATCCCGATACTCGACTCGAAAGTACGTTTGTCTCTTGTATATAATGGATAGAATATTCTACACACTTATATGGATTTAATGGCACGGCAGCAATAATTTGAGAGTTGTAAGAAAATTAATTCAATTCTTCTGTTATAAATTTTACGACAGCAATAATTTGCGAGTTGTGAAAAATTAATTAATTCAATTCTTGGGTTATAAATTGTACGGCAGCAATAGTTTAAGTTATAAAAAAAAATTAATAAATTTAATTTTCGAGTTATAAATTCTACCGCAGCAATAGTTTTTAAATTCTAAACAAATTGGATAAATATTAATTCTCGAGTTAAAAAGTATATGGTAGTAATCGTTTAAGTTATAAAGGAATTGGACGGATATAATTATTGGGTTATCAAATTGTAAGACAGCAATAGTTTGTAAGTTGTGAAAAAAATTTGAGTGAATTTTCTGCACGCTTCTTAAGCTGTTGATTGTAAAACGACAGCAGTTTGGATGTTTGCAGGATATTTCAGGTTATAAATTTTAAGCCAAAATTTGTTATTCGTGAAAAGTGTAGTTGAATTTATTACATACCTTGGATAGCAAATTATTAAATAGAACGAATTTTCATAAATTTTGAAAAATTTTAAAGTTAATGTAAAATATACATAGTAATTATTGCGGCCAATTTATTTAAAGAGACTGCTAATTTTTTAAAATTAAATTAATTATGTAGGTTTTTAATTATTTCGGGAAGTTGAGGTTAAAGGACGTTTTTCAAAGCACTTTCATTAGAAGAAGAGTAAAAAGCCACATATTAGGTTCCTTTAATTCGAAACAAAATTTTAATTTTAAGCTATATATACTTTACTATTTCCATCTTCCTTT